AATTTTCTCCCACTTGTCGGAAGTTACCTATATGTATACATCAACTTCTTCCTTTCTAGCAAGTTTTGAGGTCCTTGTTAAGTTTGGGCAAAAATTAAAATTGATTTTGATTACCAGGGACTAGTTTGTTTCAATTAATTTTGCTTAAAAAAAATGTAATTTGCTCTATGGCATCCACTTGAATAATTTATATAATAAACACCTATTGATTGAAAAAATTAGAACTACTTTTTTGTAGCAATTATATTGACACTATTTAATCATGAACGTGTTTGATTCCCCTTGCTTTGCACAAAACACATAAAATACTCTGTTTTGTCAAAAGCCGTATTATATATCATATGATTATAATATAAGTCGTTTTCTGCGATCAGCAGCAGCTGAACTCCACGCCGGTCTCATGAAACTTGGAAGCCAGAAGAATTTACGAAATTTACTGAATTTAAAAAAGAAGAAAAATAATAATATAATGTGGCGAGTTTTCATGACGAAGCATGTGGTGGAGGGTCGTCCCAACGTCAACTCGAATTCGTCTTTTAAGGAACCTCTATTCATTTTCATTCATTTCTTTTTCGGCCCCTTCATCACCGTTTAGATAAATGCAAACCCACTCTTTTCAAGAATCCTTCAAATAAAATAAAAGCCATTCTCGCCATGGCTCAAATATTAACGCCAATTAATATTATATTCGAACCACCAAAAAACATTATTGATGCTCCTGTAAGGTTTATACAGTTTCTGCGTACGAATATCCTCTAATAATTAAAATAAGTCACAATTTTTTTTTTTAAATAATGCGTCAGTGTGTGCATGAAATTTACCCTTGCTAAGGGAGGGTCTTTTGTAAATGGTGAAAAGCACTTGAAGGTGAACGTTGAGGAGGATCAGGTCTGGAATGTAGCTCAATTTATCAAGCATCTAAATGGTCTCTCCAGAACCTAGACATGTCAAGTTTGCCTAATTTAATTGGATGTAATTAAGTTAACATTGAATTCGAATTTACAACCAAATTTGGTTTTGCCTGAAATAACATGTAAATTGTCGTTTTCCTTTGAATACGAAACACAATTCAACTAGATACATTTTCCCTTCACTTTTTTTAGGGTTAGTTAATGGTCTTGTAATTTCATAGCATACAAGCTTTCTCATAAGTAGAAGGTCAAGGCTTGATTCCACTTGTAATTTCATACTTGTTTGCCTCGGGCGGAGCCAACTTGCATGCTTAGGAGCGGACCAGGATTTTTAAAAAATTAATATACATACATATATTTATATATTTACTAATAGTTATAACAATTAATTTTTTATATAGTTTTATAACTTTAAAAATCATTAAAGAATAAATTACAAACTCCATCATATCACAATATATATATAGGACATTTTTTACGAAACTCTCTTTGATTTAAAATATAGTACATTGAGTAACTTTATAATTACTCGTTCAACTATACCCTACTTTATTTATTAGTCATTTAAAAAAAATCATGTATTAAAATTTTAATTGTAATTATTAAGACACTTATATAGGTTATTTAATAAGAGTATAATTAAAAAGATATACAACTTTTTAAGAGATTGAGATTTCACTTAATTATTTTAATTACCAATCTCTTGTATTATGATTTGAAGGGATCAAGGGAATATAGTTATATGATATGTTGGAAAATTAAAAATTTGACAAAATGAAATTATATGTTTAAAAAAATGTAAGGTTTTTTTAACTGAATCTTATCCTAATAAATCTAAGTGTAATTCTAGTTGAAAAGATCAAATAATCTAGATGCAAATATAATTATATACAATCATTTTTATATTAATTAGATCTAGAACAAGCATTTTAGTTGAAAAGATCGAGCAATCTAGATGCAATTAAATCACGTAACAAGATTTTTGTATGTCTGTAAAGCATGATGAGTATACAATATTTACTAGACATTTGATGAGTATACAAAAATTACTATTTACTCATCTAACAAAATTATTATCAAGTGAGAGTGAGTTGAAAATATAACATGATAGAATTGTAATTAAATATTACATAATATCTTATACAAAGTGCTGAAACTTGAGGGAGGGGGAGGGGCACAGCCCCTCTTGGATATAATGTCATTCATACCTTATTAATGGGTAGCTCTTTGAGTTTGGAAACTTGCCTTGATCTTAGTGAGTTTTCGAGATCCAAATTCATTTAAACTTTTTGTATATATGAAAAAAGCATTAGAGAGAGCTTGATAATAAATATTCCTCCTCCAATTTTTTTTATAAATTATTTCTATTAATCTTATCAATATCAAATTACCAATGCAAAAAAAAAAATATAAGGAATAAAAATGTGTAAAATTTTCAATACGTCTATATATAACAAATCTAAAAGTGATATTATTTTATTTTTTTATCTCTCATGGAGGGTAATTTTAAAAATACTTTTTAAATATTGTTTAAAAGCTGTACTATAATTTATAAATAAAATTAAGTAAATTTTTTAAAATGTGCCTTATAAATAAGATCAGAGACTGTTAGTTACTTGTAAAAAGTTTGGTATCATGTTAAATTTTATAATATATTAATATTAACCATTATTTGTCATGGCATCATGTGATCAAATGATCAAAATTTTTTGTGGATGTTATAAATAAGGTGATAAAAATATAAGAAACATTTAAGACTAATATAAAAACTGCATATCGCATGGCATAATAGAAGAAGATGCAATTGGCAATGCTTGCGTATTAAGGGGCAAGCAGGGCTTGATTTTATTTGCACATAAAAATTGCATTTCCCCCTTTTAACCAAAAAAAAAAAATTACATTTGCCCCCAAATTTATTCTCATAAGATGGGCATGGTGGCTGGTACTGGGTATGGAAGATAGGAGGACGCCGTCATAACGGATTAGGTTTCCGTTATGGAGGGAAGGGCTGAGCAACAATCTATGTGAGCCGTACCACGTGAAGTCGTTGCGGGTACCTTCTGCTGCTTAGTTTCTCTGCTTTGTTGTCCATATATCCTGCCGATGCTGCACCTATCATCTCCTGACACCTTGTATTTTCTTCTCTCTTTTACATGTGCGTCAGCTAAAGTCGAAGCGTTCTTCTCCGCTCATGACTTCGCCGTCACTATCAGAGTTCCCTGATACATTTAGCAGCGCAAGTGCATAAAAAAATTTCAATTTTGTATGCACATCTTGATTAGATAATCCTTTTTTATGAAATAATTAAAGTGGATTTTATGCTTTTTATTAATTATTATATTAATTTAATTTAATTTAATTATTAATAAATTTTATAATAATTAATTTTTTTTGTGAGATCTGATTATAATTCTCTGTTATTTAAGTGTGATTTTTAAAATTGTGAATTTACACACTATTATTACAGGAATTTACTTTTATAGATTACTTGAATATGTTTTAATATATGTTTAAACGGAATAAAATTGAAAAATAAAATAATGTTTTAACATATGAACAATGAAATATTATTTATATAAAAATTTTAACAAATCATGATGAATGAGTTGTTTATTTTACAACTTATTTTTTATTTTATATTATTATTAATAATTTTTATAATAATTTATTTTTTTTGTGAGATTTTAATGTAATTTTTTAAAATAATAATGTGCTTCCCGCACCACAGGAAACTTTCCGTCGGTCCACGTGTCCATCTAACAATAGCAAGTTCCCGCTTTCCCAGTCTCCGAGTGAGTGACAAAGGAACGCCGCGAGACAGGGGCACAGGGCTACATATATACATACATATAGATATGTAAATCATAACCAAACGCCGTCATTTCCAGGTCGTTGTTGAGCCCTCACTGTCAGATTTAATATGATGGAAGAGTTTTTAATAAAATTAAAATTAAATTTAAATTAAGTTATAAAAATTTGTTCTGATATAATTTTAATGATTATATATATTTAAAATAATAAAAATATTAAAACACCTTTGCTAGCAAAAAGTCCCACCACACCTCTCCTCCCACTACCCACGACCTTGACATTTCAGCTGCATGGAGAGAGAGATGCCATGGAGAGAGAGAGGGGGGAGAGACGTCGTGAGCGGTGGCCGATGCCCAAGAGCCTCCACGAGCTCAAGCACTTTTGCAAGTCCACGTCCCGCATGTAGATGAGCGATGCCCAGACTTGGGTGAGCGTCGCCATGACAGACGATGACACCTGCCTCAACTACTTGGGCCCTGTCCACGACTGCAAGTCCCTGCAAGCTGCCTTCGCCTCCATCACTGGAGTTGGGTGCTTCAAGGTGATGGTTTATGATAATGCAGTGATTAAGATACGTGGAACGAACGCGTTGACAAACTTCATGACCCTTCCGCCGAGAGAAAAGCCCGACGAAGCAGAGATGGCGGTGAAGACGAAAATGAATGTGGTGGTGAAGTCAGAAGTGTCCGGCTCCGGCTATGATTCTGATGACAAATCACACCGTCTACCATCTCCCATGTCAGTTCTGCAATTCAAAAGCAATTGCAGTGAAGAGACCAAGCTGCAGAGGGGATGAGAATCAGAGAAAGAAAGCAAGGCGAAGGCGGCCGAAGTTGAAGATGAATTCCGGGAGCGTGAAGGCGAATCGAGAGAAGGAGGATTACTTCAAGTTCGACATGCCGAAGGAGGATTACGTTGGATTCGATACGCCAGATTGGGAGTGGGTGTTCGATTTCTCAAAGAATACTCGTTACTGTTCGAAGAAACTCCACCGTTTCTGGGGGAGACGACGCTGATGTTAGCAGAGGAAGATTTCAGAGCGAACAAAACAAGAAAAAAAAAGGCAGAGATAAGATGGAGGGCATGATGGTCTGAAAAGATTAATTCGATGGAATCTGACCGATTCCATCTTCAATCCAATTCAGGAAATTTTCCTGAATCTGGATTTCCAAGAATCACAACTCAAATGTACCAAACTTGTCTTCCTCAGGATTCCGTTTTCATTTCTGATTCTTTTTGGATGATTCTTGCATACAAACATGGCCTCAGAGTTTCTCTGAGCCGTTGCAGCCTCTCTGGCTTCTGCCGCTAAACGGACAGAGAGAAAGAGAGTGACTGATTGAATAGGGAGACATGATCTTTTCGCTTCGGTGATGGTCCATTAGCAATCTCACCGTTTTGTCATCCACCACAGTAAGTGTTAATCCATGTAAATTGGGCTTGTCAGTTCTGACTGATGGAAATTTCTTCTTTCCTAAGTCTATCTTTGTATTTCTAGCCATGTATTGTGATAGAACCCGTTATTTTCCTAAGACTTATATGAGGAAGACAAAGAAGTTGAATGACTCAAGTGGAAACACTTTGACTGGTCCAGATGTTTATCCTTCGGATCCTAGCCGTAAGGAACAGTGACTTATGATCTTGTGTTATGATTAATATCTTTTTGGGCGGTATGGGCTGTGGGGAAGCCATGCTGTAACTATTAGAAGTCTTTTGCTGGTGTGGGGGGGAGAGATGTTTTTTGTGAGGGATTTGTGAGGAGAGATTGGCCTCTCGAATGCTAGAAGGAGTGAACCCTCTTTTGTGAGGTATATAACTTGTAATGCTGTTACTTTTGTGATCTTTCAGGGGAGATAGGTTTTTGGCCAGAATCAGAGGAGGTCTTGTAACTCTGATTCGGTTCCTCTCAATCTATTAATATCAAAAACCTCAGCATTTTCTCCTCATTTATTGCTGTTTCTGTCTTTTGGTTTCTGTTTTGTTGTGATACTGGTTTGGGTCTCATTATATTGTGTTTCCTCCAGTTTGATATGAACTAGTTGCTTCTTTGTTTCTTTCCACTTAACCGTGCTAAACTTTATTGTTAAATGTTTAGATAATGGGGCAGTTTGTGATGTAGACTAGTGAGTACTGTCCAGGAATTTAGGATTCTAAGTTTTAATTTCATGCCATTTATTGACTGGTCGAGTATGTGAGCCCTAATATCTTTTTTGGTAACTTACACGAATTCTAATATTTGGTCTCATGAAAAATCAATTCAGCATCTCTGTCACGAGTCCTTATGCTTCTGGGTACATTGGAGGCTTTCTCAGTAGAATCCTAGAATCTCATAAATGCATCAACTGAAATGAACCATTTTATGTCTTTGAGCATTGACAATATTTGGCAGTATGGTCTAAGTATTTTCATTGCGTTTCTTGCAGAGGATGCTGAACTGACTCCAATTCTACGTCTTGGAGCTGGAGCCTGTGCTGGAATAATTGCCATGTCTGCAACTTATCCAATGGATATGGTTCGAGGCAGGATTACTGTACAGGTTCTTTTTATTTTTATTTTTTTTACCTGTTCATTATATAAAATCCTGCTTTGTATTTTTCAGAATGGCGGCTTCTAATGTATAAAGATAATATTTTCTCGAAGTGCTGCAAATTGAATTAGATAAGAAACCTTGATAAAATATGCCCATCTTCCTTTTGTTCTCATTGTTCTTCAGCAATCTTTTTTTTTTTTTTCTCCTTTTAATTTGCAGACAGAGAATTCCCCTTACCAGTACAGAGGAATGTTCCATGCTCTTTCAACTGTGCTTAGGGAAGAAGGCCCCCGTGCTTTATACAAGGGCTGGCTTCCTTCTGTCATTGGAGTTGTGAGTAATAATTCCATGATCTAAATTGTTCCTGAAGTCAAAGATTTATGGTCAGGATCCTAAATTCATGGCAAATCCAATTAATATACTTTATGTAAACATTGACTTAATAGGAGGCCTTGCTTCACTTTATTCTCCCCCCCCTTTGGCCCACAAGCTTCATATCATAGGGAATGTCTGTTATAAAGTCCTGAAAAGAGGGATAAGTTGGTTTGTTGCAGCTATACGTTTTTGGTTTTGATTTTATTATTCTTGAATATCTTAATGGGTGCAACTGAATAAGAGATCAAATTATAGCCATGTAGATTTTACACCTTGCTGAGCTGCAAATTGGTAGGCTTTTTACATCTTAGTTTGCCATATTTATATATAAATATATATTTATATATAAATATTCCTTTATTTTGACTTGCTTTCAGACCTCAAATTCTTTGTCTTGTCACTCTAATAGTTATCGCCAATTCATTTTCACATGGCTTTTTGACTGGGATAATGAGATTACGTTTGTGCTACTGGGAGAATAGTATACCTGATTAGGTTAGGATTTATTAGTAGATTTCCATCCATCTACCTATGAATATGATTTATCGATGAATTTATATTCAGACTGAAGATATTTATGGCCAATATGGGTGAGGATTCATGAGAAGGTCATACCAAAAATTGACAGGATTACTGTTAATGTGACATGGACATTTACCTTTCAGCAATGTATCCTGATTATTGCACTGTGACTACTAGTTGATTGGAAAGGCTTCACGTACTGTTTGCAGAGTCAATTTATTCAAGAAATAGAGGCCTACTATCCTAGAGTTTCCTAAATTCTTTAGAATTTGTAAGTAACCTATCTAGTATGATCTAGAAAGGAAACTAGGCAGTAGTGGTGCCAACTGCAGGAGGCAGGATCAATTGTATTTAAATCTAGGGGCTGACAATAGAATGCTGATCACATGCTTCATGAGTATTACCGGCACATTGAAGTTCCTTTTAAACTTCACATAGAATCTCTCATTTGGGTGCTATGGATGGAATTCATTTCATACTGTTTCCTTTTGCAGATTCCTTATGTGGGTCTCAACTTTGCTGTGTACGAGTCTTTGAAAGACTGGTTAGTTAAAACCAAACCATTTGGCATAAGTCAAGATAATGATTTGGGGGTGACAACACGGCTGGCATGTGGTGCTGTTGCTGGAACTATTGGACCAACAGTTGCGTATCCACTTGATGTCATTCGTCGAAGAATGCAGATGGTGAGTTGGAATCATGCTTCTGTTGTTGCTGGTGATGGAAGAGGAAAGGCTCCTCTTGAATACAACGGAATGATTGATGCATTCAGGAAAACTGTTCGTAATGAGGGATTTGGAGCATTATACAAGGGTTTGGTGCCCAATTCTGTAAAGGTCAGTCTGCATCTAATTCTCATAACTTATTCTGCCTAAGTGGGGAAGACTTGTCTAATTGTCTGCATGATTTTACTTTCCATAGACAGGTGTTATCAGTGTAGGGCATGTTTTCTTGAAAAATGCTGCAATGGGTCACTGGAAAACTTTTTGGGACACTTGCATGCCATCTAGATTATTATCTCTTTTTGGGATTCCCGCCAACTATCCGTATCCATTTCAATGTTTGTCCTGTTTAGAACTGTAAATGTAGCAATACCTGATTGACCAAAATCAACTTGTTCAGTAGTTATGATAATATCCAATTGTTGAGTTAAATATTGGTGTGTCTTGAACCAAATATTACTTATGCTGTAATTCCAGATCTATGATATGCTAAGATCAACTACGCAGACACCTGTTCTAGGCTTTAGCTTATTTATAGCCCTATCTGGTGCTGTTTCAATTGAGATCACAGGATTGTTTTGTAAACAATCTCTTCTTTCTTGTATTGGTGACAACACTTAAGATTAGCTGCTATAGACTTTCATTAGTTGTGGTCCGAATCCATGGAAGACTGTTCACTTTGCATACTACCCTATTATTCTCAGTCCTCAATGATAGAAGTCATTGTAGTATGATAATGAACATGATTTTTTTTATATATTCTCCTCTTTTCTTTTGGGGGATTTAGTCTTCCTTCAGTTCAAACATTATTTATATTCACTTGATGTCTTTCAGGTGGTCCCATCTATAGCTATTGCCTTTGTTACATACGAGGTGGTGAAGGACATTTTAGGAGTGGAGATCCGAATATCTGAGTGATTCGTTGCCTCATATCTGTTCTCGTGGTGTGGTAACTTTTGTAGGCAAGGGGATGCAGAGATGGTAAATTTGGGTTGTTTTCTTCTTCGTTGTCATCTCTCCAAGGATGAGTTTAGGGAAGCTCGAGCTAGTGTTTATAAATCTATTCCCTTGTTTCTTTCTTGTATTTCCTTGTGAACCTTTGGTAGCTTTTAGCATCTCATTCATCTTCTATGTCAATAAATGTTGTGGAGGTTCAATGCAAGGACATATCTGCAGGGCTTTCTACAGGAATCAAGAAAGCATTTTTCTTTCTGGAATTTGCGGTGACTGATTCCCAGTTCCTTTCAATTACCCCCGCAAGAGAATGCATTGTTTGCTTGTTTTAGGTATAGCTTAGTTTAACACGCAAATAATGTGATGCTATATTTTTACAACCATTGAACATAGAGAAACACTGGTATTTATACTGCAATGTGATTGGTGAGATCATGTTTCAATTTTTATGGTGGATGAATCTGCATGAAATTCTCAAAGGAAGAGGAAAAATGCCAAGGATGGACATCCATTGGGCTAGCAATTCTATGTTTCTCTATTTGGACTATCCAAAGAATAATATTTTAGATGAAGCGAGAGCCGTTTGGTTCCTAGAAAGTTGTTTTACTATAATGGAATTTGATTACCAATCACCACTATAAATGTGTTTGGTAGATCATAAGAGTTTTGAAAGGAAATTTAGTTGATCAAAAATTTAAATCAATTTTACATCTAACTCCCTGAAAAAAAAATTTTTCCCTTCCCTTACGCCTTCCATCTTGTGAGGTAAAGATCAAGGATTCAGTAAATTCTATGGTCACTTTGGCAAGTCATGGACTAGCAAAATTTGTATTATAACTGAAATGCGTACGTAACTCATGGTAGGATTCCTTTTCCCTTGTAATTTTTATCTTCCCCATTCAATAAAATACATATTAATGTGCAATATTTATAGATCGACATAATGTACAAAAAAACGTGTCTGATCTACCAACTTGAGAAATGAAAAATTAAAATTTGCCCAAATGTTCAAAGTTGCGAAGTTAATTGAATGAATGATGGCAACAGTGTCACAAAAAATGCGATACATGGAAGCCTACTAAATTACTTGGGTTTCATCTTTCATGAAGGAGCCCAATAGCATGGTTTCATCACACTGAACGGGCGGGGACCTAGAACTTAGCAAGGAGAGGTCAAAATTGAAAAGCAAATATAAAGTTTATATGAATGGTTTTCCGATAGAAAAACATGAGGAGAATTAATCATTTGACCACTATGGTTTTAATCATGTTATAATTTAGTCTCCAAACTTTAATTCAATACAATTTAATTTTTATAGTTTTGATTTGATTAAATTTATCCCAGTATCTATAGTTTTAACTATTTAAAATAGGGTTAAAGTATAAATTTATCCTTGAAATTTTTATTTAGGCGTATCTAGCATCCTAAAGTATTTAATGGCACAAATGTGCACTGATGTTTTTCAAAATTGCACAAATTTTCCCTATGGTGACTGAGGTGTTAGTTTGACCATTAAGTGAGGCATTTTGACCTTCAATAGCTTATGCGGCAGCCACATTACTTGCCACGTATGTTTCTACACTTGCCATACGTAAACACACAATCCTTATCATCCAGTTGCATTTAGTCTTGTTTTTTGATTGTTGCCCAAGTGGATTTGTTGGTGAAGACATTAATAATGTCTTTATAGCCATAATAAAATGGCAAAAGTTAGGAAGCTCAATAAATCCTTTGAAGATGAAGCTAGAGGAAGTTGGTGACGAACGAAGATAGAGACACGATCTCGCATCAAAGGCATGAGGAGTCTAACACGATGTCGATTGCCAGTAGTAAGAGCAGGAGGAGGGCAATAGTGTTGCACCAAGGTTGTGAAGCCCAGTACGAAAGGGAAAGGAGGTTTGCCACTATGGATTGTTGGCTCCTCGATAGACATCATGGATGGAGAGAACCCTAGACCATGATTTTATGGCTATCTAAATTATGACCTGGTAAGCTTTATGAGACTTGATTGATCATGGTTATTGATGGGTAAATGACAACATTCTGTTTTAGGGTGGGTGTGGGTACTTTTGTTGGCGCGACTTTGAGATGGAGTAGAGGGCAAAGGAGGTGATAAACGACCTTGTTAATCATGTGGATGGATACAAAGATGAAATTGTGCGCCTGAAAATACAAGTGCATGAAAGACAGACAAAACTGACATTTATTGATGGAGAATGGAAGAAATGGATTAAGCTTGTTATTCTTGTAGTGTCCTATGTCCTTATTGTTTTCCTTTTTCTTAAAATGTTGAAGAATAGCTATGTAATTTATGGCAACTTCATTTGATTAAGATAAGGTTGTAATGTTTTTGGACCTTGAACTTGGTAAATTATAATATATCCATTATCAATTACCTAAATTAAGTATTCCTAATTTTGATTATACCATAAAGTTGCTAGAATGAAGCTAATTGAACGTGACAGTTGCTGTAATCAACACATGGGACTAAACTTAAGTTAACCCATTCATTCATAAAAGCCACATGTACATAGTGTCAAGTGGTAAACTTGAATACCATGAACAAAATTTAGAAAGCATTACCTAATTGACATGTTTGGTTACACAAAATAGATAAAGTATGGCTACAGAAGCCATTACAAAATAGATAAGTTTGGCTACACAAGCCATTACAAAAATAGAAATTCAAGAGAAGCATAATTTCTGGATATTTCCTCCTCTACTCCTCCTAGCCATATCCCCAATCCTTCTTTCCCTTTCTGCAAATATGGACCTAGTTATTTGACTTAGCTCTCCTATCCACATTATCTTGGTGCTCTAAATGGCGAGTCAATAGGGTAGGAGACATTGACCATCTCCAGGTAGGTGAATCCTCCTAGAACCCTCTGTAGAAGCTTGTGAAGCTCTTAACCCTGTGGATCATTTGATCTCCATCTCATTAGGAATTAGTCCTCTTGTCTCAAGGTCTGCATAGTGTTGCATATAATCAGCAAACATCCCTTCTTTAATCACCATCTCAGAACTCATTCCAGGCTAATGTGATGAAAACAATATGATTACTATCAGTGATTTATATTTTTTTTTCACAAAAGCATGAAAATTCAAAGTGTCACATAGACTTACATTATATATAGTCCTGCTAGTATCTTCATTAATAAGAACTGAAATATCCTCCTTCTCTAATCCATGATTAACTCCAAATCTCCATAGTTAAAGAGATTGGTTTAAGGTAAATGATATCATACCAAGTTTGCAAATAGGTGAAAAAGTTGGAATCCTAAGTTTTCAAAACTAAACCATTTTCAAAAACTTTGAGATAAACAAATCAGAGTTTATAACTATGCGAAAGCATGAGATTGTTTCAAGATTTAGTACGTTTGCTAAAGAGTTAGAAAACAAAGTAATTCTGCAAGAATTGGGGCATGCGCCGTGGCTCATTGCACTATACGTTGTGGCACATTACACGTTCCATGGAAGTAAACTTTCGTTGTCAATTTGACAGCTTTTAGGGTAACTTTCAATGCACCCCATTCCTTAGTTTGACATTCGATTGATGTGAACTAGGTATTTACAGAAAGCTCTTTTTAAACTTTAACTAATGGCGTTAGTTTCATAACCAAATTATTACACATTCAAAATTTGGACACTCTTTTCAAAACTTGTACTTTTTCAACCTTTTTCACAAAATTAAGCGTCCAACTCATTTATCAAAAGTCAAAAGCCATTGACACCACTTAGACTACATGCGATACATTAAAACTAACCTGTGCAATACACTACATCATAACAATCACTTATAATCTATATTTTCACTACTCAACCCCTTAATCTCAAAAACATATAAGGGGGAGTTCAATCATCTATTTCATTAAATATATAATAAACATCACATAATATGCCCAATTCTTACTTGCATTAGTATTTTAGCCTTATCACAGATATCACATTTCATAAACTCACTTTCTAGGGCCCAAAATACTCTTACAACTCACAAAACACATAATACAAGTAAGAACTAAAATGGACTATTCCAAGTTGGCAATTTCAATCATCATATATGTTATGTTTGCCTTGATATGACTAAGACAACACTCTAACACGCCATTGTGATAACCCGAATTAATTAAAATCCCTAAAAAAAGTTATCACAACTCAAGAGTTTAAAGGTAATTAGTTTAAAATATTGGGATCTCAAGAAAACTCTTTTTAAAATATTATTTGAGCTCAAACTATAGTTTAAAATCAATCAAATATGATAATAGAAGCATGGAAATACAATTTGCACTTAAAAGAACACTTGGAGCAAAACTAAAAAATCTAGAATTTGCACCGTCCGTCACGGCATAGACCTTATCCGCCATATCGGATGGCATAGAGAGCCATGCCCTCGTTAGCTCATGTGCCGCGGCGTACTCCTGCTGTCATGATAGCACCTCAGACTAACGAAGCATGCCATTTTACCATCCAATGATCGATTTGAGCGGTTTAAGTGTTCATACGAAGCTCTTCGAGCCCTATAGCTAATAGCACCAGTCTCATACTCAAATAATCATCCATTAAAAAGATGGACACTTAAATCTAAAATGGTTTATTTTCACCTCAAATCACATTCAAGGGTGTCTAAATCACACTACCAAATGCTATTAGTTTCGGAATCACCTTGACCACCTCAATTGCACACAACACACAAGGTCAATCATATCACACAAATAACCAATGATAATCAAAATGACCACTAAACCCTCAATTCACAACAACATAAAGGGGTAGATAAAACTTAACATAAATATTATTGTAGTCATTTTCACACATAAATCATCACAATTATATCACTTGTAATTGTATCTTGGCCGAACAACCCATTTAACAATAATAGCATCAATCTTAGGCTGAGATATGCAACATTCCACAATTTCTCATACAAGTGATAACAAAATAATGAAATGCCCTTAAGTTGGCATTATAATATAGCATACCCTTTACAAACCTAAAAAGAAGAAAGAGAAGAGCTATACAACAATGCTCTTTACTTTTCAGTCACCCTTTCCTTTCCCTTGCTCCTACCAAAGCCCTCACTTATAAAATATAACTACAGGGTGAGATGAACATCTTAATAATAAAATAATTCACTACTATTAACTAACATGCACAACCATATGAGAGTAAAACTATTAAGCACCAAAACACACTTTTAGCATATTACAACATACCTTTTTCCATAGCAAATGTTTATTTTCACTTTAATATGATCATTTTACCATCCAAGCCTCCATATCACCTCGACTAAAACTATAGGCTCTTGGACCAAGTGCACACTCACAATAACTCGAGCTCACTTTCAATGGTATAATCACCTAGCCAAAAGTATCCTATCCCACTTCTGAACTATAGTCTCCCTTTATCGCACATGAATCAAGGTGTCAATACTCTAACACCGCATCACTGATGC